GCGCACCTATTGTCTCATTTTACCACAATTGGGAGGTTATTTTCATTAAACTCTTGTGAGTCTGTGCCAAATGTCATTCCAGTCCATTCAGCAGCTTGTAGGTTGGATAAAGAGGGTAGATAAAATCACACAAAAAAGCAATAAAACCACCTTTTAAATTATAAAAAAAAAAAAACATTTATTCCGTAAATAATTATTAATGTAGCAATTTTATAATTTCTACACACATAACATTATAACGCTATCGTTTTGTAGGGTAGATAGAGATGAAGCTTCAATGATAATAATTAGGTAGTTTCCTAGGTCAAAAATAAATTGATTCGACATTTTAATAGAATAAAATATTGAAAAATAACCAGGTATACTTTTATTCATCGATCTATCGATACACTAACACCCGGTGTCTGAAAGGCTTGTCAACGCTAAAATTAACTAATCTCCTGTTAAATCTCTTGTCAAGTCATCTGATTGGTTGTTGATAATTCAGTCAACCAATCAGATGACTTGACCAGAGATTAAATTGATTTTAACATTGATCGGCCTTTCGGAAACCGGGGGTAAGTTTTAGATATTTTGTAGCTAATTATTAAGAAATAAATAAGCTATTTGACACAAAAATACTATGACGTCATAACTCAGTTTTTCATACAAATTTCATAGAAAAGTATCGTTTTTGACATTTGGATAAAAGTATTGAATTTGACTAGTTGGAAACTACCGCATTACATTTACAACTTACACCTACTATTTTCGCAACAGTTAGGCAGAGAACAAAGGCGGTGGTGGCCGTTTGAGAGAGATTTAGGAGTTGAGGAAGGATTGGGCCTCCGGCGACCTCACTCACACGGCAAAAAACAACGTTAAGGTAGTTTCACGCCGGTTTTCTTTAAGGCCGTGGTATAACTCCGGTCGAGCCGACCCATTCGTGCCGAAGCATGGCTTGCCCACACTAAAAATATAACAGAAATGGTCCACTAGTAATGTTATAAGTTCTTTTAAGCTTAATGCGGCACATAGGGCACAATTCTAAATAATATGCAATTTAAAATATTATGCTTATAAATGCAACAATGTTGATATATTATTATTATTTTTACTATGCTAAAGATAAGATTTAGGATTGTGCCCAATGTAGCTTGGTTATCTACTGTTTAGGTTTTTAGGGATCAGTTGAAAACGTCAGGAAACGTAGTTGTCTGACATTATTGCTAAACTGGAACTATTTGACACAGCCGTGCGACACGTAGTGTTTTTTTTTTTGCTATTTTTTATTATCTCTATTTAAAAATATAAAATGTTTTGTTGAATATGTGGTTTTCTGCACTGTGTGTGTCTATGCCATATAATTTTTATTTCTTTCTTTCTTCTTTAAGTAATGGTGTCCGTTACCCAGGCCAGATGTTGTCGACAATGGTCATTTGAATCTTATAGATAATTAGTTGTGCGGCTTCTGTAATTGTTGCGCACATTTTTAAATTTGTTGCGCTTATAGTTTTTTAATTATTTCACAAAAACATTTCCTGCTGGCGTAACGTTACCACAGCCAGACCTTTTTATTTCTAATGGGAATATTTAAATAAATATTAGCTATAAAATTAGTTGTCTAGATAAAGTAAATGTTGTGCCTTATTTTGTATTTGTTCTTTCTTCGGTTGCGAAGTTATTCGAGATTTTGCTGCGGTAACGTTTTTGGTTTTGCTATATCTTTGAAATGGTTAAGCGGATTCTTATCATATTTTGTACACGACTTCCGAGGACTTAGTTTAAATTTGTTGTGCAATAACAAAACCAAAATAATGCATATTTTAAAGGTTTTTTCATTAAATAGAAAAACACTTCAATTGGCCCCAGCACTCTCAATAAGAAGTCTAAAGACTTACTTTAAACGTAATTTTAAAGCTTGTAACTGCCTTCAAATGTATGTGAAGTTTCATTAGTATCCCGTAAGTATTTAACAAGTTATGATGATATTCAGTTCTTCACGAGCACGGTCTTAATGCACGCGGTGTTATTTGGCCACTGGATTGGATATGTGAACTGAATGTTATGTCAATAATTAGTTGTTTAGATCAGTTGTATATCAGTAAAATTTCAGCTCAATACATTGGATAATTAATGAGATAATACTATGAAAGTCATTAGGAAGTGAATGACCGTGGTAAGCCGACCAAGTTTAGGTGGTTACGAAAAAGCGAAAACGCAGAACATTGTACTATCTTTTGAAATGTTTAGTATAATACACCTTACAATTTTGGTACAGACGCGTACACTGTTTAATACCTATATAATAATAATATAAAAGAAAACATTATCTTCCAGTTCCACAAAATTATCAAAAATCACCGCTAGAGCATGCCGTTCGGTAGGACGCAGGAGGAGTGGGGTGAAGGGGTAATACATTGTTTGCATAACGCACTCAGTCTTGCCAGAAGGTTACTTTGTAACCTTTTAGATGATTTTTGAACTGCATTTTGAAATAGAAATGACCAAGGACGGGTGATGTTTAATAGGTTGCTAAGCAACACAAGTTTTTACAAGTAAGGAAGTAAAAGTTCAATTGAAATGATTATTTTACCTTTCAATAAAAAATCTTGAATAATCATGTAGTTTTTTTTAAACTTTTGTACATGTCTGTACTAAATTTATAACACTATCCTACATATTTTAGAAGGTACCATAATGTTCTGCGTTTTTCGCTTTTTCGTAACCACCTAAACTTGGTCGGCTTACCACGGTCATTCACTTCCTAATGACTTTCATAGTATTATCTCATTAATTATCCAATGTATTGAGCTGAAATTTTACTGATATACAACTGATCTAAACAACTAATTATTGACATAACATTCAGTTCATATATCCAATCCAGTGGCCAAATAACACCGCGTGCATTAAGACCGTGCTCGTGAAGAACTGAATATCATCATAACTTGTTAAATACTTACGGGATACTAATGAAACTTCACATACATTTGAAGGCAGTTACAAGCTTTAAAATTACGTTTAAAGTAAGTCTTTAGACTTCTTATTGAGAGTGCTGGGGCCAATTGAAGTGTTTTTCTATTTAATGAAAAAACCTTTAAAATATGCATTATTTTGGTTTTGTTATTGCACAACAAATTTAAACTAAGTCCTCGGAAGTCGTGTACAAAATATGATAAGAATCCGCTTAACCATTTCAAAGATATAGCAAAACCAAAAACGTTACCGCAGCAAAATCTCGAATAACTTCGCAACCGAAGAAAGAACAAATACAAAATAAGGCACAACATTTACTTTATCTAGACAACTAATTTTATAGCTAATATTTATTTAAATATTCCCATTAGAAATAAAAAGGTCTGGCTGTGGTAACGTTACGCCAGCAGGAAATGTTTTTGTGAAATAATTAAAAAACTATAAGCGCAACAAATTTAAAAATGTGCGCAACAATTACAGAAGCCGCACAACTAATTATCTATAAGATTCAAATGACCATTGTCGACAACATCTGGCCTGGGTAACGGACACTAAGTAATGAGGGATTTCGATACTTTTCCTGCCGCCAGGCGGCGCTTCGTATGCGTGAGATCCAAACAGCTTGCAGATAGAACGGATTCTTACCGAATTTATATGTATTTGGAAGTATTATTGATTCTATGATGATGAAAGAAAGGGTGTCAAACTGAGGTCAATCTTCAGTTAAGCAAAAAGAGGACCTACATGTGTGCTTATTTATAGGTAGGTACACATATGCACTGCTCAATAGTTTGGCATTTTGGAAACTAATATTCTCTTTGCTGCACAGCTAAGAGTCCCACTGTAACTTGAAACTAGTAGAGCTTTTCTCAATTCATTCACGTAAGTCGTTATCCAAACTAATATTATAAATGCGAAAGTAATAACTCTGTCTGCCTGTCTGTCTTTTCTACACGCCTAAAGTACTGAACCGATTTCTGTGAAATTTGGTACAGACATATTTTGGAACTTGAGAAAGGACATAGGAGGATAGTTTTTATACCAAAAATCTGCAGGAAATCACTATTCTACGCGAAAAACGTCGCGGGCAAAAGCTAGCTTTCAATAAATCGTTTATGAGTTTGACAGGCAGTTGGACCTGACTCTACAGAGCTGCCATCTTACGGGCGATATTTAAAAAAACCCTCATTTGTGGCGTAACAAGTTGTTTTATCTGTTGGTCTGCTTAGAGCATTATTTTAACAACACTGTCTTCCTTCTGTCTACTTAAAATTTTAGAAGCCAGATGTCGCCAAGTATTTGAAGAAGACCTATATTATTCCAGAGCCTCAGGTATCCCTACCTACCCTTTTTAACACAGAATCATAATTTATGTAATAAAATTCTATCAATTTATACCACAGTCTAAGAACATTCTTTTAAACAGTCCTGTAAACAATAGACCGCTTACGTAACTTTTCGAGGACGCTCGAAAAGTTTCGAGCTTTACCGGGGTTCGTAATTACGAGGACACGAAACAATTCGAGCACATGAGTAAGATATATATTTTTATTGTAGTTTGTGACGAAAAAAATCAAGCTTCTGTGGTTTTATTTTTAAAAATACATTATAAATGTAAATTTTATTTAGTCAATTAGTCTTTTATGATTTCCAAAATCCATATAAGTATAGTCTTTCTCTCTACGTCACTTAGTTATATCATCACACCCTTATAGACTGTGGTATGTACAGACAGCTTACTGTCAGTGGTAATAAAAATTTAGGACAAGTTTATTTTCTTTTTTTTTAAATGTTGCTATACACTAGTCTCCTGTGTTTTAGGTTCGTTTACAAACACACAATTCACATTCACATCACACCCACACAAAGTTGTTCCATGCGTAAATCGAAGCAGCGATCCCCCAATTAAAGATTGGGATTGAGCCTCTGGTAACCTCACTCACACGGCGAAACACATTGCTGTGGTTGTTCTACGCCGGTTTTCTGTGAGGCTGTGGTATCACTCCGGTCGAGTCTAGCCATTCGTGACGAAGCAATGGCTTTCCCATGTTCCGAAACAAAGCAGTTGCAACTTTTATTATTATTACCACTGACAATCACTTCTATACAATCATACATCCATCTATTACAAGTATCATATAATTAGAAATTGTGCTTCTAACGTCTAGTCCCATTTTTTGAATTCAACGCCATCTGGCGGCTTCATTTCGACTTTATCTCGACCGACTTGGTTCCAGTTCGTGCTGAGCACTGTGCCTCCCGATTCCACCTGGAAATAATAATAAATATTTATTAAAGAAACCTGGCAAGTACCAATGTAACTTTTTCCTAGATATATGTACTTTCTATGATAATTTTGATACCACTGCATATGGTGAATGGTCTTTCTAATTATAAGTTTGATATAGCAAAGTCACAGATGTCGCTGAGATCAAATATGGACGGTAAACACAAGGGCTTCGGTTAGGCTCGAAACAAGTCGAGCATACACGTAATGCACATATTTTTTTAAGGGCATATCACATACATTTCCGGATTGATGCAATCATTTGTCAAATTCACGTTTGTCATCTATTATTTATTATGTTTTCGGCTTACTCACGTAATAATTTGACGAGATACTCGACTAGTTTCAAGCCATGCTAGAGGCCCATATTCATGAGCAACATTCCGCGACACGCGACTCGGCGACTGTCGCGCTGCTACTCACTCAAATTATTACGTGAGTAAGCCGAAAACATAATAAATAATTAAGAATGTCTCACGAAAGTTATAATAAAAATTGTCATTTATTATTCATTATTTATCCCTAAAATTCAATATTTCGACCCAGAGCGGCTTCCCACGGGTGCAATGCTCATACTAAATTTCTCCACTATTTAATGGATGTTATAGAATATAAACTTTCCTATTCAATCACTCTACGTATCTATTTAAACCGCATCAAAATCCGTTGCGTAGTTTAAAAGATTTAAGCATACATAGGGATATAGGGACAGAGAAAGCGACTTTGTTTTATACTATCTAGTGATTATTTTATTTGACGTTCAAAACTGTCTATTATAGTCTGATTTGATTTTGACTTTGAGCTTGATATACTTACAAAACTCTTGTTCATAGCGCGTCGCACTTCATCGGATCCCTCTCCATAAATCTTTTGGAAGAGAGCGTTTAAAGCGGCGTCGCCTTCTGGTTTCTCTTCTTCTTCCTGTAAGAAGAGTGAAATGGCATTTAAGTTAGGCATTGTGGGGATGGGCGATAATAATAAATTTGTAACAAATTGTAATAAACTTTTTTCTCATGATTGTCGTAAGAGACAATGACTGCATGTCAGAGACAGGGCAGAAGCGGTCCAAAACTTTTTAAACTGCGATCTCTTATTCGAGTTCCAGGATTTCAGGATAGGGGATTAAGAGAAGAGGGATGGCGGGGGTATACGAATTGTCCTCCGGAAACCTCAACCACACGAACGAGCTGAAAATTTAAGTTTTTTTTATATGATAGGTCGAGCTGATGGATTACCTGATGGTAAGCAATCAGCGCCGACCATGGACACCCGCTACAACAGAGGAGTTACGAGTGTGTTGCCTAATTTCCAAAGGTATTTGGGGATTAGGCATTTTGAGATTTAGGGATTAGGGCCCCACCCTAATCCCTAAATCTCAAGGTATAGGGCCCCGGTAACCTCACACACACGGCGAAACATAAAGCTGTAGTTGTTTCACGCCTGTTTAATATGAGGCCGTGGTATCGCTCCGGTCGAGCCGACCCATTCGTGCTGAAGCATGGCTCTCCCACACTTTAATAATTATGAATTATTTTAAGGTTTAGGACATTTTGGGATTAGGAAGGATGAGGGAAGAAGGATTGAGCCTATAGTAATCTCACTCATACGGCGAAACACAACGCTGTGATAGTTTCAATAAAGTAATAAAATATCTTACCATTTTCTTGATATCCTTTTCAATTTTGTCCCAGTCTTTTTTGAACAACTTCGGCGGTTGTTGTAGAGGTCCTGAAGCGTCTATTACAGCTGAAAATATACATGAAAACATTTATGAATTGCTAGTTCAGAGTCTTAGAGAACTCAAGCAAAATCATTAATTTACTTCTCTCGACAAGGGTAGGGAGAGAGAGGATGCACCTTAAGTTACTCGAGTAGTTTCAAGACGAGCCAGAGGCTCATATCCACGAGTCAAATATGCAACATTCACTGCGTCGTCAACCTCGTCACACATTTAGTAAAATAAACTACATTTCTCGCCCAACAGATGGCGCTAGTCTGGACTTCTCGTCTATTCGACCAATAGAAAATTAGCTATGGTGACACCAAAGGCCGTTGTATTTCTAAAAGCGTCAGTGATTGGACAAACTAACGTCTTGAATTTGACTGATATCATCGCCATCTTGTGAACGAAAACGGTAGGTAATGCTCATCATCATCAGCCTGTCCACTGCTGAGTAAAGACTTTTTCTCACACGGAGACGGTTTGAGCATTTATCACCACGCTTGCTTAAGACGGATTGGCCATTTCAAACCTTTTAGAATGTATAATAAGTCCAGGTTTCCTCACGATGTTTTCTCTTCAGCATATATCAGTGGTGTCGAAATAATCGGAAAAAGTCACATTGGTACTTGTTAGTAAAACCTGAACCCTGAATGCATGAGAAGCTATTAAACACTTTCACTACCACTACAATTTTGATAATGACATCTCGGATACCGACTACATTTCTCGTTCAATTTACGTTGAACTCGCCGGGCGTGTCCACGGCGCTGGAATAACTGATATCGACTCTCTTGACGAGTGGCACTGAATGTGTTAACCTCCGGCCACCAGGACTAAAATAACTAGCTAAAGTTAAGCAATATCATTACCTTGAGGTATGGCCTTAACATGATCATCAGCTCGATCCCCATCCAGTTGAGTCCACCTCAGTCCCTCTTTTTTCCGCAGTTTGACTTCTATTTTCGATGGAGTCACTACGTAAGTGCATAGGTTAGGTACTATTTCATGTGCTAGGTCTAGTTCTAGACTGTATTCTGAATCTGAATCTGGGATCGCACTTGATACTGAGAGCTGAAAGAGAAACACATTTTTAAATATTTATTTTTTCAAATTATTCCTTGACTGTACCAACTTTGGAACTTTCGCGGTTCATGTTGATAACACATTATTAAACGGGTATTGACGTCGAGAGACTGCTTGCGACCAGGTCGAAACGTCAAGCCTTCCGGTAATACCGGTTTAATAATATGTTGTTATTCTTTGACTGAACAGTTGGTGCAGTGACTAGGCTACAATAATTCTCCCGCCCAGGGTAAGGCGAGAGAGAGTGTCAGGCTCTTACTGACTAAAAACCCGCCGTTCCTTCTCCTGCTCTGGGCCGACGCCGCGGTGACTGATTGCGCTTGTAAAATAAATAAGTGCTACTTACGCTCCTCTCTCCATAGTTGACCTTTACTTTATCTTTTGGCGCGTTCTTCACTAGTATTGTGATGACCACTTGCGAATCTGTTTGGTACCAATCGTGTTTTATTTTTGGCCGCGTCGGCTGTGGACAAGAGAAAGGCATAATATAAATAACCAAGTAAACTATTATCCATCCAAAGTAATATTATAAATGCGAAAGTAACTCTGTCTGTCTGTCTTTTCTTCGCGCCTTAACCGCTGAACCGATTTTTGTGAAATTTGGTTTACTTTTTATCCCGAAAATCCCGCGAGATCGGGAACTATGTGGGTTAAACCAAAACTCCGGCACGGAATTCCACTCCTTGGCTGTACGCATAATGAATGATAGTCATACTTATAGCATACTTTTGCAAGCTTTCACTGATTATTTTTTGTTAGATAATTCTTGTGTATGGTAACTAGAAAACTTTTGACATTATACACTAATATAAAAATGAATCGCAAAATGTGTTGGTAAGTATATCATTTAAAAGCGCCCTGGACCAATTTTGTCTTTTTGTTTTGTATTTATTATTGTCAGGAGAAGGTTCTTAGCAAAGAAAATATTAGAAAAGTAGAGGGAAATATTAGGGAAATGGGACCCTTTGCGATCTGGACCTGCAAGAAGCGGGGGTGGGTCACTAGTATACACTAATAGTGTCTGTGTGTATGTAACAGAAATCTATCGCGACAATAACATGCTGGAACACTATGGTACCAACAAAGGAGGTTGTGACTTCGTAAAAGAGACTCTTTTAAGTGGACGATAATAATTATTCTTTTATTGGCATTCTGCCAATTCTTTTTAGAAACAAGCTAGTCATGATAACAACACAGAGAAAATAATTGAACTAAGATCTATTTAATATTACTCTAACAATTTAAACTTTATATACTCTTATTAATCGGAAGCTCTCAAATTTATGTCACCGTGGAAACCATTTTGTGACCATGGAATGGTATTTGTACATGATGTATCATGTTCTTTAGTTAATTTATATTAACATATATAAATATATAAACACGGATATAAATAACTTGTTGCATTTTGGTGTAGATACCATATTGTTTTCTAAAAATGTACTGAAAAGGCAACTCTGGTTGTACTGTTGTTATTTAAAGGAAAATAAAGCTGTAATAGTGTAGTAAATAGAGCTCAACCATAGCTTTTAATCAAACAAAAGCCAACTATCAACAAAGATGAAATTATTCATGATTTCGAAAAGAAAGTCAATTAAAATGTATTATTATAATAAAATGTAAAAAACACATCAATATCATACCTCAACAGCCGCATTTCCTTTCGTTTCAGTCATATTTTCTCCTCTTTCGCTCCAGAAATGTATATTTTCCAGAAATCTTCGAAAATATTTATTTTTACACCGACACCATTCAGCAGATTTTTCTAGACTGGTGGTACGTTCTGAATGAAGGATAACATAATATGAATCTTGCAGCTGGGCCGATTCACACTAAAATACCAAACTGCAACAATATAATATTTTAAATATAAAATATTAAAAGATATTTAAACTTGTAAGAATTTAAAATATGTCTAAAAGTTTTTAAATATTTATACTGTTGATGTTTATTTCACTAAATGCAAATCTTTGATAAATAATTGTGAAACCATTTGCAGGTATTTGAACGTGTAACACTCCGTTCCACGCTTGAGTGTTTCTATTTTTTGTTAATATTATTTTAATTGTCAAGGTTTCATCCAAAGTTCATTCCAAATAATTTTATACTAAAATACATATAAAAGAACTTGTTTTAAAAAAGCAATGCCATATGTTTAATAATAAAAAACAAATATTAAATATAACATACAGACATTTAGGTGAACGAAACGTTCTTTCGACTGCCACAGTCAATGTCAAAATTTGAAATTTACACGTCAAAACACCGATTTTTCACCGTCGGTGAGAAATTGTATGGAGTGAAGGAATACATAATTTTTCGACTCCAATACTCTTTTTAATACCATTAATTTAATTCGTATGATGCGGGTAAGCTATATAATATTTTCTTAGTACCTTACAATAGAGGTTACGTATGTATATGTAAATAATTTTACTAATACGTTTATTTTTATTATAAGTACCTATTTTATTTGTTTTGCTTATCATTACTTTCTTTAGCTATCTTATCAATTTAGTACTCTTCAGTAAGTAGTGTAGTTATTCGTGCTAAGACAGTTTCTCTTATTTGTCTTTGATGATAAACTTTAATTTTTATTTTGTATGTAATTAATATCTATTATTAGAACTTAAATAATTGCGAATGCAAATAAAAACTCCTCAACTCCGCCCCTAAGACGACCCACTGACCCTCCTCGTCTTATTATACTTAGCTCAATACAAAATGTGGGGCTAAATAGTAAATTACAAATTCTAACCAGTAGTGGATATAATTTATATGGCATAAGTAACATAGGGAAAGAAAGGGGAGGCTTATGTCCAGCTGTGGACGTCTTCCGACTGATGATGATTATGATGATGAAGTAACATAGTATGATAGATGGAAAACCTGATGGTAAGCAGTTGGCATACCCATAGCCACCAGCAACGGAAAGGACCTGACTGATTATAAGTACATTGCTACCCATCTCAAGTTGTTAGGGATTTTTCGATGAAGGAATTGAGGATTGAGGTCTGAGAGGGCTAAACACCTTATACACGTAAGAAAACACCATAAGTCCTTGCATTGTCTCCCAAAAACAAAATTATGTGCATAGATTCCAGTTTTCGGCGAGGTTATGACATCACTTCAGTCAGCCATTGGTGTTAATGTTCTCTCACACATCTTTTGGGCTGTTGTTGTTGATGATGATGATGATGATGATTGCGTATTAATTCATCAAACCCCAAGGCTGCCCACCTATTTTACTTCTATTGTGTCTCGAAAGTCCATGGTTGAAATGTTAATTAAGACTAGCTTCGGTCATGTGGTTTCACTCACTGCTCGGCTCCTACCAATCGTAGTGTGATGTCTTAAAGCCAAAAGCCTTCCTCGATAAAGGGGCTAGCAAACACAAAAATAATTATTCAATCCGAACTAATACTTCTGGAGATTAGCAAACAAACTCTCCAAAGATTATCTATACTAATATTATAAAGAGGTAAAATTTGTAACTTTCTAAGTTTGTATGTAGGGGGTAATCTTTGGAACCGCTTGTTGGATTGCCAAAATTCATTCACTGATAGATAGCTACAATGTTCCCGAGAGCTATAGGCTATAAAAAATCACGCTACAATCAAATGGAGCCGAGAAGCGGGTGAAACCGCGCGAGAGAAGCTAGTGTTTTATAAATTTTTGATACTTGAGAATTTTATTCTTTTACAGATTTGGCAGCATAGCCTCAAAAGAACAGTAGCACATTATAATTTAGTCCGACAAGTTATAAGAAACATGAGTACGAAAAAGATAGCCGTTTGTCAGATGACGTCTGTAGGGGATAAGGCGGCTAACTTGGAAGTTGTCAGCGATTTAATTAGTCAAGCTGCGAAAGAAAATGTTCAGGTAAGATGTCAGTATTTGTAAATATCAAAAAAATGCATTTTTTTCTTTTTCATTAATATTTATTTTAGTCCTGAAAATAATAATAACCTTATCGGGAACTGTTGTAGAGTCCATGTTTCAGATTCTTACTTTTATTTTCAGATGATATTCTTTCCAGAAGCCTGTGATTACCTCTGTGATAATAAGAATGATACTTTAAATTTTGCTGAACCGATCATAGGTGGCGCCACTGTTGGGAAGTATAAAGAATTGGCGGCCAAGCATAATGTTTGGTTGTCTATGGGTGGGATCCATGAAAAGGTATGCATTTGTTTTTATTCTAGACTTTGTCTAGTTTTTAAACATGGGTGCACATTATGTTGTAATAAACAAGATAAATTTTTCATTTTCTGTATTTTTAAATTTGAAGTTTAAATATTCATAACTGTGGAAACTATCCAATTCGCACTGTCTAAAGATAAATGTAATGTACGTGTTTCGAGAGACGATCTCCGTCCACCGTAAGCGCGGGTCTGTGGACGGCGGGTAAGGGTAGCTCGCCGCCCGACCAGAACTAGACCCAAGCGTGCGGCGCATAGCGTTCCGCGCGCGCCTCAAAGAGCCAATAGACCACCACACACGGGGCCCTATAGGGCTGATGTTCAGCCGAGGTTGCGGGGTAAGCGCAATGAAGCACCACAACCTCGGCCCAGAACAGTAGAAGGCACGGGGTTTTTTTAGTCAGTAAGAGTCTGACACTCCGTCCATCCCTCCAAGAAAACGAAGGTAGCAGTGTTTGGGCGATCAATTGCTAGTAGTAGTGTTTCGATTACGATAACCTCGGCCCAGAGCAGAAGAAGGAACGGGGGTTTTTTAGTCAGTAAGAGTCTGACACCCCCTCCGTCCCTCCAAGAAAAAGAAGGTTGGGGTAGGTTAAGGCAGTGTTAGGGCGATCAATTGCTAGTGGTAGTGTTTCGATTACGATACGGAATATTGTTTTTAGTGATCCTTAATTTGTTTGCCAATTTATTATATGCAATGACTTTATAGTCACTCAATATCATCCAACTTTAAAAATATTGAATAATTATGATGAGTATGTAGCTTAATGTTCGAGTTTGCTCGACGAATTTCGAGCTATAACCGGGGTTTATAATCATGAATAAATTACAGGCATCTTAAACTGCGTATTGAGCCCAATCTGTTAATAGTGTTACCACAATCTATTCTTATTGGCAAGAACTTTTATTTTGATATATTTTTCTCTTTTCAGGACGAATCAAATCCCTCGAAAGTTTGCAACACTCATATAATAATAGACAATAAAGGGACTTTGGTACAGGCATACAGGAAGTTGCATTTGTTCGATGTGGAGATACCTGAACGGAATGTAAGGTTGAAGGAGAGTGATTTCTGTGAACCGGGAAACCACATTGTGGCACCCGTTGATACGCCAGTAGGAAAAGTAGGTGAGTTTTTTAACTTTTCAATAGTGGTAATTCGAGACATAATAGAAGAACAGTAGGTGCGCGAATGCCGGCGTTCACATAAGACATACGCCAGCTTAATATTGGAACTTTGATTTAAGTTATACCTACCAAAGTAACGTTTCTTATTGACGCCACGCAACGCCAGTCTTAGAATTATTATTCCTTTCGCGATTTGAGTCTAACAAGTAACATGTAAGACAAAACATCATACCATCTTAAAGCCTAATTATTTACCCGAGCGTACGGCGAGTAGAGTTCCGCACGTGCCTCAATAGACCACCACAGACGAGACCCTGTAGGGCTGATGTTCAGCCGGGGTTGCGGGGTAAGCGCAATGAGGCACCGCGACCTCGGCATAGAGCAGGACAAAGCACGTTGGTGCTTTTAGTCAGTAAGAGTCTGACACTCCCTCCCGCCCCACCCTGGGCGGGAGAAGTCATTTGATGAGTCATTTTCCCCTCACAAAAGAGCCTAATTAACAAAGCCTTCTTGAAACAACTATTGGCACATCTCTGCATCATCCAAGGCTCGACTGGTAGAGAATGCCTAAGGTATTAAGTCCACCCACTGTGTATGAAGTGTCAAATTTTATATATTTTTTAACCAGTTTTAAGGGTGGGCAAATCTTGCGGGCTACATCAGGCACACTATCAGACTGTCTACTATTATTAAACACAGCAATAATAATTTGCCCACCCCGGGAACTTAACCAAACACACATTCTTTTATTGGTTAGTTCTATCTATACGGGAAGAGTCTTTACGGGAACAAAGTTTTTTGCAATATTTATTTATAACTGTTCGAATAGTATTATAAATATTGTGAGACATACTGAATTTACTAAAAATACGACTGACTCCCGTGAATTACAGAGAAAAGCTCTACTAGTTTCAAGTCATAACGGGACTCTTATTCATAAGCAGCTTGCTCGTCGCGGTGACGTCGCTCAACCAACTGAAGTGAAAAAAAATACTGTCATTACTTTTCCAGGTTTAAGTATTTGTTATGATATGAGATTTCCTGAACTAAGCACTTCTTTGAGTATCATGAAAGCTGAAATACTGACGTTTCCTTCGGCGTTTACACAACACACTGGGGCTGCACATTGGCATGTGTTGCTGAGGTAAAAAACTATTTTACTTATAATTTTTTGTTTTTTTTTTTTTTGATAGGGCAGTAAACGAGCGGATGCTTTACCCTATGGTAAGAAATCAGCTCCGCCCATTTTTTTTTTTTATGTTATAAGTCGGCAAACGAGCTTATGGATTACCTGATGGTAAACAATCGGCGCCGCCCATGGGCACCCGCAATACCAAATGAGTTACGAGTGCGTTGCCGGTTTTTTGGGGATATGGGTTGCGGATAAAAGGATCGGGAAGGGATAGGGGAAGGGGAGGGATTGGGCCTCCGGTAACCTCACTCACACGGCGAAACACAACGCTCGGTTGTTTCACGCCGGTATTCTGTGAGGCCGTGGTATCACTCCCAATGCTTAAAACATGTCTCTACGTATAAATCTTCTCTGGACTCCTCTGGACCTGGACTTCCACGAATAATTTAAGACCAAAATTAGCCAAATCGGTAAAGGCATTGTTGAGTTATAACATTACAACGAAAAGTGGCATTGATTTTTATTTATAATAATATTATAAAGAGGTAAAATTTGTATGTAGGGGGTAATCTTTGGAACCGATGGTCGGATTTCCAAAATTCTTTTACTGATCGATAGCTAAAATGTTCCTGAGTGCTATAAGCTATAAAACATCACACTACGATCAAATGGAGCCGAGCAGCGGGTGAAACCGCGTGAGAGTAGCTAGTATAAATATATAGATAAGTTGGAAATAATCTTTTTGATCAAGTAAACTACCCAATTTCTATTTTCAGAGCAAGAGCAATAGAAAATCAGTGTTACGTAATCGCGGCCGCCCAATCAGGGGCTCATAATGCGAAAAGAAAGTCTTACGGCCATGCCATCTGCATAGATCCGTGGGGCGAAGTCCTAGCCGACTGCGGGGTAGATTCCCCAACATTCAAAGTAGTTGAAATCGATCTGGGAAAATTGGAAGAGGTTAGGCGTAATATGCCTGTGTTTCAGCATCGAAGGTATGTGGCATTTTCTATACTAATATTATAAAGAGATAAAATTGTAAGTTTGTATGTAGGGGGTAATCTTTGAAACCGCGGATCGGTTTGCCAAAATTCTTTCACTGATAGATAGCTACAATGTTCCTGAGTGCTATAGGCTATAAAACATCACGCTACGATTAAATGGAGTTGAGCAGAGGGTGAAACAGCGCAAGAGTAGCTAGTGTATTATAATATGGTAGTCGGTAAACGTATGGATTATCTGATGGTAAGCAATCCGTGCCTCCAATGTTAACTCGTAACACCAAATTAGGTACGAATGCGTTGCTGGCGCTTTGGGAATAAAGATTATTAAGATTTAGGGTTAAGGGGGAGCTAACTTACCCGGCAAAACAACGCTATGGTTTGTATTCTATTATAACACCCTGTATATTTATTTATACGAGTGTTATAAAAATAAGTTTGTTATAACATTCTATGTATAATATTCCGTTTGTATTTTATTATAACAACCTGTATATTTGTACAGGCTGCTACGATTTTTTTTTGTCTGTAATTGGTCGGCAAACGAGCAGACGGATTACCTGATGGTAAGCAATCAGCGCCGCCTATGGACGCCCGCAACGGAGGATTTACGAGTGCGTTTCTGACCTTTTAGGGATTAGGGATTTAGAGATTTAGGGATTGAAATTATCTGTTTCTATTTAACATCTGTTTTATTTTTAAAGGATTTTCTGAAATTATTATCCTTCTTTTCAGACGAAACGTTTACTCCCTGTACTCGTTAAGTCTCCGCAAGGACCTCCTACCCTGTCACTCACCATCTCCTCCCCCCTCAATTTCCGGACCACCAGAAATTGTGGAGCCTGACGAACCCCACTATACCTTCGGACATGTCAAAGTGCCAGAGAGCTGTGTCTTCTATAAATCTAAGCTGACTTATGCTTTTGTTAATTTGAGGTGAGTAAGAATAGAGTGGAGAGTGAGATTGAGATTAAGATTCCCCCCTTGGGGTGTGTTTATTCTATACTTTAATTATTAAGTTTTTATCGACTTTAAGATTTTTCATACTTTTCGAGGATAGTCGAATCATTTCAAGCTATAACGGAGCTCATAATCTTGATAACGAGCGAGCTCCGGTTCCCATTTTGTGTGATTTTTATTGTAACTTTTTTAGATGTGTGATCCCCGGTCACGTGCTGGTGGCGCCAATAAGGATGGCTCAGAGAAATCATGATATGACGGAAGAGGAAGCACAAGATTTCTATAGAACTATACGAATTGTACAGCGGGTGAGCCCATATTTTTTTGTTATTTATTTATTTTCATCACACTACCATACTACCATAAAGTGGCTCTAATCCCACGGCAATTAGGCACGTAACCTATATGAAACTGACTTATTCATTAGTGGGTAATATATATTTTTTATTACCAATTGCGCTAAAATGCTGACCGCGACAAACTTAAAAACAAAGTAACATCATAAATCTGGCCTATGCGCGCGCATTTACTATGTTTTTGCTGTCATTACACGACTGTTGTCGTCTTGATGATGATGACGATGATGATAATGATGATGATGATGATGATGATGACACTCACATACACATTCACAACCACATTCACATTCACGTTCAAGTTCACATTCGCATTCACATTCACATTTACATGCAGACTCACAATCACATTCACGTTCAAATTCACACTCACATTCACATTCACATTCACACTCACACTCACACTAACACTCACACTCACATTCACACTCACAATCACACTCACACTCACATTCATACTCACACTCACACTCATACTCACACTCACACTCACAATCACACTCACATTCACATTCACATTCACACTCACATTCACATTCACACACTCACACTCACACTCACACTCACACTCATACTCACACTCACACTCACACTCACACTCATACTCATACTCATACTCACACTCACACTCAATTTCTCTATCACATTCGCATTCACATTGACGCTCACATTCACTTTCACGTTCACATTTACATTCACACTCACACTCAAACACACACTCACACTCACATTTATACTCACATTCACACATACACTCACACTCACATTCAATTTCTCTGATGATGATGATGATGATGATGATGATGATGATGATGATGATGATGATGATGATGATGATGATGATGATGATGATGATGATGATGATGATGATGATGATGATGATGATGATGATGATGATGATGATGATGACGATGACGATGACGATGACGATGATGATGATGATGATGATGATGATGATGATGATGATGATGATGATGATGATGATGATGATGATGATGATGACGATGATGATGATGATGATGATGATGATGATGATGATGATGATGATGATGATGATGATGATGATGATGATGATGATGATGATGATGAAATAGCTATAATAGCTATAATAGCTCCACGAAATTTTGACAGAAGGTGTAAACCATGATGCTCGTTTTATTTACGCAATAAAAATTTTTTGACTTAAGTTTAGTTACGTCCTTTTTACACGGGTGGTGCGACTTATTTGTTTTTTAAGTCGGTTTTTTATTTTTGGTAAAAAATATTTTATTTCACCATTTTAAGTGATAGGCTGAGAAAGCTAGGGTGCTTCTCAAAAGAGAAGACGACACCTACTTGAGACCGAAAATCACGGTAATGGCAGTCTTCAGTTAGTCAGCTTTCAGTGCCGTAAATCGTTGAGGAATTCCCTCAAATGTCAATGACCTCCATCATCAGGTAAACTGCAGGCCTTCATTATACATAATCTGTATAGGTGCAAAGTTCTCATCAATATAAATGAATGAAGTCCAAACACATTATAATTACTCCAAATAGTCAAAGAGATCCCACGACGGTCTTCCATCTCCATCATCACAATTTACTGCATAACTTCATTGTAATCCATAAAGGTGCAAAGTTTTCATCGATATAAATGAATGAAGTCGAAACACGAGATAGTTACCGTAAACCGTTCAGGAGTTCCCTGAGCTGTCAATCGTTCTCATCATCAGACGGTTAATGACAGTCACGACCAATCTTGGTGCAAAGTACCCACCAATACGAATCATTCAAGCCCAAACACAAGGCAACTACTCCAAAAAGTCAAGGAGGTCCCTCGACTGTCTTCCGGCTCCATCATCAGGTCGGGTTCGAACATCGGCAAGTTGTAAATTTGTCAAAAGCCTACTAAAATCATATGCATAAACACCACTCGCCCCTACAATTTTTGAAAGTTCCCCTCGATTTCTCTGGTCTTCCATCATCAGATCCTGATTTCCTTTTCATGGGACCATTCCGGGACTATCTCCATTCCAATAAAAAAAAGAATTATAAAAATCGGTTCATAAATAACGGAGATATCGGCGAACAAACATAAAAAAAAAGCATATATTGGTCGAATTGAGAACCTCCTCCTTTTTTTGGAAGTCGGTTAAAAAGTGCAATGTGATAGAAAGCTGTACTTCCATTCCAGGGAGCTTGTGCTCAATTTCTGTTTCGACTATCAATCTGTGGCTATTATGAAGCCATGTAAAAAACTAGCCAGTAACCGCTTGAAAAGAACTATCAATTAATAAATTAGGTACTTATATTCGTAAATGCTTTAAAATTAAAACTAGTCTAATCTTAATTCTTTTTATTCTATTTATGTGCGCGACAAGATATGTAATTCAACACAATCTCATCAATGTAATTATGAATGTAAAGGAGTTCTCAAGTTTTAGATAAATTAAGCTAGTTCTAACATTTTCGTTTACTAATTGAGGTAACAAAAGTTAAAAATTGGCAACATTGTGCAAAAAATCGGGGAAACGCGGAGGCGGGGCGACAGAAAGGGACGCAGCTATTCTGTACGTTGGACGGGATCGTAGGTATACCTACGGCGCGGCGACCGACGCGGTGGGCGCCGCGGCCGCTGCGCCGTGACCGCGGCGCTGTGAGTTGAAACAACTTTAGCTAGGTAGAAATTGAACAGCTGATTTCATGCGTAATTCTTTGGAGAATTTTAACAACCATTGCTTTTTTTGTTTTAGCTGTGTTATTTACTTACATTAATGTTATTCTTCATACAGAGAATGTAATTATACATTGAAATAGAGCTTTAGGACACACTCACACTCACACACCCACTCACACTCACATTAACACTCACACTCGCATTCATACTCACATTCCCACTCACATTTACACTCACAGTCACACTCATATTCACACTCACATTCACATTCCCACTCACATTCACACTCACTCACATTTCCACTTACATTCACCCTCACATTCACTTTCAAATTTAAATTCCCACTCACATTCAAATTCACATTCACATTCCCACTCACATTCACATTCCTACTCACATTCCCACTCACATTCACACTCACAGTCACACTCACACTCACACTCACATTCCCACTCACATTCACACTCACAGTCACACTCACATTCCACACTCATATTCACATTCCCACTCACATTCACATTCCCACTCACATTCCCACTCACATTCCCACTCACATTCCCACTCACATTCCCACTCACATTCATATTCCCACTCACATTCCCACTCACATTCATATTCACACTCACATTCACATCATTCACACTCACAGTTACACTCACGCTCACTATCACAATCACATTCCCACTCACATTCACATTCACACTCACATTCACACTCACATTCCCACTCACATTCACATTCGCATTTACACTCACATTCACCTGCTCGTGCCTTGACCGATAATTGTTTTTTGATATTAATGTTATTTTATTTACAGTTAATGGAAAAAGTGCATGAAGCTGACTCTTGTACGGTGACCATACAAGATGGGATGCACGCCGGACAGACAGTCAAGGTAATTTATTTTACATATATACATATTTAGTGTTGTGGTGGCCCGGAGAATAAAGACGACCTTTTCTCGTTCATGAGGGAGCGAGTCGAACCTGGCAAGTACCAATGTGACTTTTTCTGAGTTATATGTACTTAAGATTACTTAGACACCACATACCTATAAGTTCTGGACGTGATGATGACGATGATCATATAAAATGAATTATTATTACGAAACTGATTAAAATAGGGTTACCATAGGAATCTACTTAATATTGATCTCTTGGAAAACAATTCTAATTGTATTAATTTAGTAAGTCTTTTTAAATCTTTTGATTTGTCTAATGTATTCCTTGAGCCCACCCGAGTAACATCCACCTCGGCTACATGTATAGATAATATATTTTGTAACTGTGATTATTTGCACAAAAATATTGTTAATAGCTTACCATCAGATCACAGTGGGTTAACAATAAACTTAAACAACATCACAACGGTGCCAAAAAAGGAAATAATGTTTAGACATATCACGGATAAAAAAGTTGAGTCATTAAATAATAATTTAAAGCAAATATTATGCAGCCCATCACATGATTATGAAGGTCCAAGTGAGATTTATGCCAACTTACTGGCCATTATTAAAACCCAATTTGATAAATTATTCCCCTTAAAACGTAAAATCATTGAATGTAAATTTGTATTCTGTGACTGGGCTACCCCCGGTATTCGTAGAAGTAGGGGAAAGTTATTTGAACTATATGGTATGAAACCATTTAATACAAGCGAAGCCTTTAGCAAGCATGTGTCCAAATATGCAAAAATATTTAAAATGGTCTGTAAGCAAGCAAAATCTCTTTACATTAGCCGTAAGATTAAGAACGCTGAAAATAAAACAAAGGCTACATGGAAAATAATTAACAATGAGACAGGCAGACATAAATTGCATAACACGGAAATTAATTTAAATACCGGAAATGGACATGTTAGTGTAAATCGGGAAGTTGCACAAGAATTTGAATTTTTTTTCAAGAATATCCCCATTGAAACTACAAAGGACTTAGAATCATCTCCGGCACTTTCAATTAGTCTTCTCAAAAGAAATATTAAAGAATGCCGTTCTGATTTCCAATTTCAGTACACAAACCCCCAATCAGTAATAAAGGCGTTTAAAGACATTAAAGTTAAGTCTACAGAGGATCTCTGGGGAATGTCTGTTGCAGTGTGTAAGGCTTTTATAGAAGCTATAGCGCCTCATTTAGCTTTAATTTATAATAGAAGTGTAGATCGGGGAGTTTTTCCAAATTTGATGAAACATAGCAAAGTAGTTCCACTGTTTAAATCTGGCGATGATACCGATCCTAATAATTATAGGCCGGTATCTATTTTACCGGTGCTTAGTAAGGTGTTTGAAAAGCTGATGCTTTCTCAGATGCTGCGTCACTTTAACATGAATTCCATCTTTCATGATCAACAATATGGGTTCACCAAAGGTCGATGCACAACTGACGCCGGTGTAACTTTAATTAAGCGTGTTTTTGCCTCGTGGGAGGAGTCGCACGACGCTATTGGAATTTTTTGTGACCTGTCCAAGGCTTTTGATTGCGTCGAACACGAGACACTGTTGCTAAAGTTGGAACACTATAGTATTCGAGGGGCTTCACTCAATTTATTAAAATCATACCTCCAGGATAGGCAGCTTAAAGTACAGGTAAACAAAGTGAATTCTCAGGGTGCTAGCATATCTATGGGCGTACCACAGGGCTCGATATTAGGTCCTTTCCTATTTTTGGTCTACATAAATGACTTACCTCATTTATTTCAGCGAGAACCGGGAATGGTATTATTTGCTGATGACACATCGTTGATTTTTAAAATAAATAGACGGACAAATAATTATGACGAAGTAAATAATGCTATTACGAAGGTTCATAACTGGTTTACAGTTAATAATTTAGTTCTAAACGATAAAAAGACAAAGTGTATACGATTCTGTTTACCAAATGTAAAAAGTAACGAATGTGACATATTATTAAACGGCAAGAAATTGGAATTTGTAAAACAGACTACTTTTCTGGGTATAACCATAGATGAAAAACTACAATGGGGGCCCCATATCACATCTCTGGCAGGACGGTTGAGTTCTGCAGCATTTGCTGTCTGGAAGATCCGCCAGCTAACAGATGTGGACACTGCAAGACTGGTGTACTTCAGCTACTTTCATAGCATTATGTCGTATGGCATCTTGTTGTGGGGACAGGCTGCTGACATTGAGTCTATATTTGTCTTGCAAAAGCGTGCAATCAGAGCAATTTACAACCTAAGGCTTCGCGAATCTCTTAGAGATAAATTTAAAGAGATCAATATTATGACTGTGCCCGGTCAGTTTATTTATGAAAATATAATGTATGTTAGGAAACACTTAATATTATTTGATAAGGTATCAGACAGACATAATTACCAAACTAGACATAGAGATAGATTGTGTCAGCCATTATTTAGATTGGCAAAGGTACACAAGTCGTTCATGGGATTCAGCGTTAAGTGTTATAACAAAATCCCAGGCGAAATACAACAATTAAATGAAAGAAATTTTAAATTATGTGTAAAGAAAACTTTGTGTAAAAAAGCATATTACAAACTGAGTGATTATATTGAGGATAAGGATGCTTGGAGACGGGCTGGTCCTGCTCCACAGGATAATATACCTACACGAATATAAATAATGTTGCAGTGGATCTTTGCTTGAACGGAAGTTCTTAGATTTTGTAAATTTGTAACCATGCTATTTTTATTGTTAAACTTGATAAATTTGTAAATGTGAGTGCCCTGTAACCTATTAAAATTAGTTAGACTAGCAGAATGTCGGTCCATATGTCAGCTTGGAGTTGTCATGCTCACTCATAGGTCACATTGGCGGTGGCACGGTCACTGGATCGCTCGATTCCCTATATTATGGTTGAGTTGGGCGATGCTGGTGTACGTGTCATGCTCGTGAACGGGCGCCGTCAATTGGGACTGGTCAGCTCCGGACTGTCTATTGTCCTTAAGGTTATTTTCTTTTTATGTTTCTCTGTATACACGCGTTACACTGTTCTCACATATTCAAACTAACTAAATAATGTATCAAAGAATGTTTATGTGACACTGATTTTAAAAGAGTAACCATGGAGTTTCTTGCTCGTTCTTCTCCATCGGAATCTACACTTTGGAACGAGCGAATAGCTTCACTAAGAGGACTGACCGACAGACTGACACTTTGTATCTTTAAAGTTGTGTTGACGTTCAAAAGTGCCTGTATGGGTCTAATTGAAATAAATAATTTTGACTTTTTTGACTTTTTTGACTACACTTGGAACAAGCAAGAGCGACGAGAATACAGACCGACAGACTAACATACACAAAGTTGAACTTTTTCTTGTATGTTTGAAGTTCATCATATACATGTGGAAGTTTGTGAGAACCGATGACCGCGGGGGTAAACGTGTTTTAAAGTGGAGACTACGTCTAGGCAAACGTAGTGTAGGGCGCCCTCCAGCTAGGTGGACTGACGACATCCGCAGGGTGGCTGGCAGTGGTTGGTTGAGAAGAGCTGAACATTGAGCTCAGTGGCGTGCAATTGGAGAGGCCTATGTCCAGCAGTGGACGACAACAGGCTGATGATGATGATGATTGATACAAAAACGGCTGTAACAATTTGGTCGAAATTTGGCATGTAAAAAGGTGATAGAGAACACAGACTTTTATCAACACACCACGCGTGTGAAACCACTCGCGGAAGCTAGTTCGAAGTAAATGATTTGAAATTGAAAGACATGTTTTTATTGTTTTCAGCACCTCCATTGCCACATAATGCCGAGAAAGAAAGGAGACTTCATAGACAACGATTTAATATACTTGGAGCTAGCCAAACATGATCAGTAAGTTAAAAATACTAGACTCAAAGAGCTAATAGACCAACACAGGCGGGGCCCTATAGGGCTGATGTTCAGCCGGGGTTGCGGGGTAAGCGCAATGAGGTACCGCGACCTCGGCACAGAGCAGGAGAAGGAACAGGGGGGGGGGGGCTTTTAGTCAGTAAGAGTGACACTCCCTCTAGCCCCACCCTGGGCGGGACAAAGTCATTTGATTTTGAAAAGTTACTTAAATACTAATTCTGCTTACCATCTTTTACATCAAATCCAGCTTAAGTGTTTCATCGTAAGAGGAGGGAGATTTTCCCCCCATTCTCCATCCCTTATCCCCACAATCTCATAATTTTCCAGTCTCCAACCCCCAAAATGTCGAAGTGGGAGAGCCATGCTTCGGCACGAATGGGTCGGCTCGACCGGAGTGATACCACGGTCTCACAGAAAACTGGAGTAAAACAACACTTCTGTTATGTTTCACCTTGTGAATGAGGTTACCGAAGGTCTAATCCTTCCATCCCCTTATCCCTTAATCCCTTATCCTTTTATCCCTAACTAGCTACTCTCACGCGGTTTCACCCGCTGCTTTGCTCCATTTGATCGTAGCGTGATGTTTTATAGCCTATAGCACTCAGGAACATTGTAGCTATCTACCAGTGAAAGAATTTTGGCAATCCGACCAGCGGTTCCAAAGATTTCCCCCTACATACAAACTTACAAATTTTACCTCTTTATAATATTAGATAACCCACAACAGACCGGCAATGCACTTGTAGTAACTCCTTTGGTATTAATAGTGTCTATGGGCGGCGCCAATTCTTTACCATCAGGTAATCCGCCTACTCGTTAGCCAACCTATCCCATATAAGAAGGTAGCTGCAGTATAAAAAAACTTGATCAAACGTTGAACTCAAGTGGACGATTGAGTTTAAATCTTATCCTTATAAATTTTAGGTTCAAATCCGGTCATCCATCGAAGCCTGCAAGGACGAGGGAAGAAATGGTAACAGAAGCAACATTTTTAAGAGCTGAGCTACAGAAAATGTACTCGGAACAAAGCTGATATACCTAATTAAAAGGCACATTGATGTACTCAATAGATATTACAAAAAAATAACAGATATTAAACCTATGTGTACAATAATTAAGGTACAATTTACGGAATCAAATGTAATATAATAAGTTTTGGATTGTAAATTGTAATATATTTTTATTTTTATGTTAAATAAATAATATGTTTTTTCGAAATGTTTTATTTTTTCATCGCATTTTAAATTCGCTTCGCGTTCTCAGTGCCAAGTCTTTATGTTACAGGGCGGCAAACGCTCATACGGATTACCTGATGGTAAGCAATCAGCGCCGCCCATAGACACCCGCAACGGCAGAGTTACGAGTGCGTTGCCGACCTTTTGGAGATTAGGGCGTTGGAGATTTAGGGATTGGGGAGGGGAAGGATTGGCGAGTTAATCAAGTAAATCGCAACCTACAGTCACAGCCTACGGGAGAGCAAATACCCTTTTGTTTACGACTTATTACCCAATGGTAAGCAATCAACGCCGCCTGTGGTCACTCCGCAACATCAGAGAAGTTACGAGTGCGTTAGATTTATTTATTGAGACACCACTGACATAAAGTGAAGGAAAACATTGATACCTTCATTAGGAACATTGGCCAATAGTAGCCAGGTGAAGCAGACACGGGCCGCTAGTGTTGAATGTTAAGTGAAACGGGTTGTACCTATCTACAAATTGAATCAAGTTAGAAAGTGATCCAATTTCGCTACTTATCCGAAAACGTTCCGGACATTTTTAATGTTAGGGTTTTCACGTATGTGTCGACCTTTCGCGTCCGGCCTTAGCCAAGGCCGTGGCGCGGAGGTAGAGGTACTGGGAAGCCGTCTCCTTCTGGGAAGCAGTGATGCTTACTAAGTAAGAGGTGGAGCAGGTGAGGGAGCTATCCTCGTCCAGCTGCTGCAATAAGTGACACTCCGGGCCAGAACCAGATCCGAGCATGCGGCGCGTAGCATTCCGCGCGCGCATTGAAGAGCCAACAGACCACCACTAACGGGGCAAACCAGGGCCCATGTTCAGCCGGGGCAAGCCCGTTGCCGCGTTCTCAGCCTGGAGCAGGAGACGGAACGGGGTGGTTTTTAGTCAGTAAGAGTCTGACAGTCCCTCTCTCCATACCGTAGGCGAGATAAGAGATGAGTCCTCCTTAAAAAAGGGTAGTCACATATTTATACTAATCAAAATATAGAACTCTCAAATTCTAAAAGTAATTTGGAAATTGAGTGTTTGTTCATGAGATCTTTTCGCGGATCGAGAAAACGTCGTTCTTTCATTTTCGACTATTTTCGTTGCAAGTACATCGATTCTGGAGTGTGTGCGTGATTTATGTTTATATGAGATCTACATAATTTTATATTAATAATGACAGAACATACCTATATAGGTACACAGACGGTCAGTTTCCTTTTGGAAAATAAAATAAGTAACATTCTCCCGTTCTTGGGAGAATGTTAGTTATTTTTTTTAATATGACAAACCATCTTACGATTAGCTGATGGTGAGCAATCCACAAAAGCGTCTTCCACAGACAATCACTGCACCTTGAGACTAGCAAGTGCGTTGCCTGTCTTTAGGAAAAAAATTGGTGATCGGGAGGGGAAGGATTGGGCCTCCTACAAACTCTTAGAGTCCTGATTGTAATAAATTGTCTTAATCAAGTAAGTGTGGGAGAGCCAAGCTTCGGCACGAATGGGTAGGCCCGACCAAAGCGATACTGCAGCCCCACAGAAACCCGGCGTAAAACAACCACAGCGTTATGTTTCGCCGTGTGTCTAAAGTTACCGGAGGAACAATTGCCACTCCTCGTCCCCAATCGCCAAATCTTATTCAATCATCAAATTCTTACTCCAGAAGAGCTACAACAACGCTATTATAAATCCCCCTACCCACCATCCTTCCCCAATCCAAAATTTCTGTAACCCTCATACCCAAAAGGCCGGTATCGCACTGGTTGCTTACCATCAGGTAATCCATCTACCCATGAAAAAGTTACCAGCCAAAGAAACGCCATTGACCTTCAAAACGCCCTACACGGAACAACAAAATATTTCCGACTTCAAATTAAAATACGGAGTTAGTTCAATTATTTATTTATGAATACGTCAGACCATTTCGTTTAGCCAACTAGTACCGGAGTTATGAAGGTAATCAACGTCTGAATAATCTATAAGCACAATTTGATTAATGATTTATTGATATTTCAAATTGTATGTTACGGGCCATACCAAAGTTTGTTTTTTCTTAAGTGTAGGAGAGACCGGAGTGATACAACGGCCTCATAGAAAAAAAACCGACTTCAAAAAAACTAAAAAAAACTAAAAAGCAAAAAATTAATTTACTTTGTTTAAGTAAAGTAATACATATTTTCATTTAGTTAAATGGAAAATAATATTTAATAACTATTTTATAATTATGAAGTCAGAAGCGTTATCAAAAGCCTACTAAAACCACATGCAAAAGCACCACTCACCCCTACAATTTTTGAAAGTTCCCCTCGATTTCTCTGGTCTTCCATCATCAGATCCTGATTTCCTTATCATGGGACCATTCTGAGACTATCTTCTTTCCAACAAAAAAAGAATTATCAAAATCTTTTCATAAATAACGGACATATCGGCGAACAAACATAAAAAAAGCATTTATACGGTCGAATTGAGAACTATCCTCCTTTTTGGAAGTCGGTTAAAAACCGGCGTGGAACAGCCATAGTTAATTTGGGCACGTCATACTTCGGCATAAATGAGCCGATGTGACTGGAGCGATACTACGGCCTTACAGAAAACAGGCGTGAAACAACTACAGCGTTATGTGTTACCGCGTGTGGTTACCGGAGAAACAATCTGCACCTCCCATCCCCAATATTCAAATCTCTCAATCATCAAAATTCCTACCTCTATCAGGACATCATCATCAAACTTGGCAAGCACCAATGTGACTTTTTCTAAGTTATACTTTCTATGATTATTTAGACACCACTGACATACGGTGAAGGTAAACATCGTGAGGAAACCTGGACTTATAATTTTTAATTATAAGTTTGAAATTGCCAACCTGCATTGGGCAAGCGTGGTGATTAATGCTCAAACTTTCTCCGTGTGAGAACAGGCCTTTGCTCAGCAGTGGGCACTTATGGGCTGATGATGATGATAAGGACATTAATTCTATTGTAATACTTACATGTTGCGCGCGTCGCGAAGTGCTTACCACTAGGTCTTTTCGTTTGCCACCTTGTTCACCTATTGAGCCATAGACCTTCCTAAAGGTTTTTTAATGTCTCAACTGTTGAGTCATTGGCCATGAATCGGTTAAGAATGTGCAGAAATATCAGACTAAAATATGGTTGCCACCAATCTTCAGTATCGTAATACATGACGAGCTAAAAGCAATGGACATCTTCATACAGTCATACACCCCGTCCCCTCCACTTTAGTTGAGAATCAATAATATTAGAGTTACGGCTATAAGAAGTACCTGAATGTGTGTCGATGTTAATAGTGAACTATCGAGGGTCATAAATATTTTAAGCCCCATTCTCGAAGCTATGAAGCGAACTCCGGAACCATGGAAGTAACTACTTTAAATAATTTGGAAGTGTTTAAAAGGGGAATGTTAACATCGTCATCCACTATCGAACTGAGGTGTAAAGGCATCTTCTTAATATGCTTTGAGACATTTGCCTTGCCTTTATCAAAAGTGGTGATTAGATTACACCACATTTGCTTAAGGCGTGGTGTAATCACCACGTTTAGTTAGGGCTAGTTGGCTGTTTGGGGGTAAAGAAAGAAAGAAAAATAATTATTTGGCACACAGACACATACAGTGCAGAAAACCACATATTAAACAATATTTAAATACACACCTATTAAAGAATAATAGAAAAAATAAAAGAAAGCGTTTCTTATTACGTATCGCAGCCCGGCTTGGAGCTCAGATCCAGCGGGAGGAAACGCTCGAGTGTCGTCATTGTGAGGACCACCTAGAGGATACGGTGGAGCATACTGTGGCGGTATGCCTGGGCTGAGCACCGCCGTGTACTCTGGGAAGTAATCGGCGGCGGCGACCTCTCGCGCCTGGCCTTAGTCGAGGCGAGGGGTTGCAGGTAAAGAAAGAAAGAAAAATAATTACTGGGCACACTCACAGACACAGACAGTGCAGAAAACCATATATTAAACAAAACATTTGAAGAATAATAGAGAAAATAAAAAAAGCGTAATTACGTATCGCAGCTCGGCTTGGAGCAGGACAAGAATTGGGGTGAAGTTTTCTGCCTCAAATAAATAAAAGCAAATTGAAAAGACAAGAAGAAATTAGACACTAGTAGATATTTTATCGATAAACTTTTATATCTTCGGGACAGCAAAATGTCTTAAGGATATTTTTGGATTTTTATTCTTACAAAATCTATACTTACTAATATTATAAATGCGAAAGTAATTCTGTCTGTCTGTCTTTTCTTCACGCCTAAACTACTGAACCGATTTCTGTGAAATTTGGTACAGACATAGTTTGGAACTCGAGAAAGGACAAACGAAGTTTTTATACCAAAAATCTGTGAAAGTCACTATTCCACAGAATGGGGTCGCGAGCAAAAGCTAGTATTATATAGAATTCAAAATTTGGATATGGATGACATTCGACAGCGAGATATTAAACAAACTAAATGATGTATGGGTAAAACAAAAAACAGTTCCCACTCAGTGGACACAAACTAGTATCTATATGTGGCCACTGTTCCAAACTTTAACTTCATTGACTCTGAACGAGCGGCTAAAATTAGGGTAGTGACATAAATTCGATAATAGGGTTATGTCCGCTTCGGATATATCCGATTATTTAGTTTTTGGACAGATACTGCGTGAAGAGTTCAGTATTCAGTTTTGAAGTTATATTAGGACCGAGTTTTGACCTGATATAATATTATGTAAATAAAGTTTGCGAGTTTCTAGTTCAAATATTACGTGTATAAAGTTATATACAACTAGCTACTCTCACGGTTCACCCGCTGCTCAGCTCTATTTGATCGTAGCGTCATGTTTTATTGCCTATAGCACTCAGAATCCGCCGTGAGTAGTGGTAC